TGATTTAATCTGGAGTTACTCCTAACTGGTCTGTCAAACTCAGATAAGAATCAGATGCTTTATCTTTTAATTTCAATGGTTTATTTTGTTTCTTGGTTGTTTTTTTTTATTATTATTTTTTTTATTTTCCCCAAGAAGCTAATGTGAACTTGAAATGTAAAGTGATTTTATTTTGAGGAGCACAAAGTAAATAGGTATTATTTTAAGGATAATGTTCTGAATTAGACAAATAGGATTTATAAACTGAATTTATTTGAAAGAAAACATGCTTCATTGGATGACATTTGCTAAAAACACTTGCATTTGTCATGTCTTGATGCCTCCACAGCTTATTTATGACCCTATTAATGCTGTCTGCTCTGGTGGCGAAGCTCCCATCTAAGTAGTACTATAAATTAGCAGGATGCCAAAAGTTAACCACACTGCAACGTTTTAATGCTGCTGGGTAAGAGAGACTCACAAACACAAACCACTGAAAAATTGATAGTAGAACAGCATCCAGTCATGCCAAATAGCTCTGACCTTCTTTCCCTTGGAGCTTCATCATGGCCAGGGGTTTGGTTACCAGTGGGGTTCTCTACCTGCTGCAGAAAAGGAGGGCAGTACCCTGGTGCAGTGCATTGCACTTCACAGCAGTCAGGATCAAACTAATGGACTCAGCTCCTTGTACCACTGGGGGTGATGGTGAGTGTCTCATCTTTTGCATCATCGCAGAAATGCCTGTGAAACACATTTAGAAACTGGTCCACGTTCTCCTGGACCTCAAGTGAAGCTATGGCACTGAAACTTTGTGGCCTCTGAAGAACCAAATCCTGATTCTGAGCCCAAGGGCATGTCGACCAAAAGTAACTTGTGTGAAGTCAGCATGCTGGTATGTCAGAGTAAGTGAAATCTACTATGCTAGTCCTTTACTATGCTAGTCCTGCACCAGTATTTTGATTCAGTTTCAAAGACTGAACAACAGTTCAGTATTACCTGTAATCTTTTCTGTATTTTCAAAGAAAAATCTACAAATTCTGGAAGACTAGTGGCAGATAATTTGGAGGCAATATAGAGACAAAACTCTGAATCAGTGAGAAAAAAAATCTAAAACATGTTCAAATATGGTTGCAGATTAGTGCAGGGACTGCACTGCGATGAACCTTTCATTCACCCAACACATCAGGTAGGCATTCAAGGTTTCAGTAGAGATTTAGTTCTAGCTTCTGTGTTCTCTTTAGTGCTAAATCTTTATGAAATAAAAAATCAAGATCTAAATTATAAATAAATAAATAATCCTTCAAATATTCTTGAAAGTCCTTTCCTTTTCTTCTCAAAAAAGTCATTAGATAAGCCTATACCATCAAAATAAACAAGCATTCTGAGGTATTTTTCTAAAATGTGAAGAAACCCCTCTATTACTCCTCCCAGCTGGAGCACAGAGGGCAAATCTTTATAAAAGATGTGTTTTCTGCTTAGAGATACACAAAGCTAAGCCATATCTTGCAGAGATTTTAATTTAATCTTTCATGTAGCCAGGGATTTTAAGCCCTAGTGCTTTTAATTTATGTTACATCATATATTAATAATGTAGATATGATGGAGGATAGCTCATCAGATTAAATGTGTCATTTTATAAAGCAGTTTGGAAGCAAAAAGTATGAAGTACTCTTAAATGATGCTTCAGGTGCACAAATCATTACATCTCTTATTTCTGGACTGGACACTGGCTGAAATGAAAAATAATTTAGTTACAGTAATTTTATTTTAAGCTAAGCACAAGAAGTAGGAGAGTGATGCTGGCATGCTCTTCCGTGGCCTTCCAGAGCTCTCTGTATCACATCCATGCACACAAGTCCTGCGCCATGACATCCTTGGTGGCAACCATGGGAGAAGTCTTACCTTGAGCAGCCTGCACTTGGCCACAGCCCTGGCAGCATTTGATGGAGCTGCTCAGGGAATATAGAGCAATGGGAAGTGAATGCATGAGTTCTGGCTTGCTATGAAGAGTCACTCTCCCCATGGTGTGCTCATGCTGTCTAAAGCTACTTCAGGTAAAACAGCAAGTTCCTTACCAGCAATATGGTTCAGTCATAAGTCCTTGATACTTCACAATGTGGCCTAATACTCAAAATCTGATAAATAAACTGAATAAACCTGCTCTAACATTCAATGTGTCCCTACAGAATTTTGGTGGCAAATTTACTACTATTATACAAATTATAAAAAGGGAAAAAAACCCACCTGATTTTCTGTCATAAACCAGCTAAAAACTAATTTATGTCCATGACAGGTATGTTCTTCTTGTGAGACTATAAAACATAAAAATTCACGTATTTACAGCATAGCATACATACTGGTATAATACAACATGAATTTAAAAGCGGTAATAAATCATATAATCTGTGCAGAGGGACTATACATCTAGTCACTATTGCTACATTTTATGATCGCCCTTTTGTGTATTTTTCCTGGTGGTTGCTGTTTTTACATGCCCTCCAACTGAATAGGGAGGTACCCAAAGCACATGTGCTGGCTCCAGTGCCCTCAGGAAGGGCTGGTGTGGAAGCACGGCCTGTGGCAGGGGGAGGAGAGGCTGAGCAGCCCAGTTCTGCTGAGGTGGATGGGCAGGTGTCCTAGGGGAGCTTTGCTGCCAAAAAACATTAGGTACATGTGGATTTTAGCAGTCTGTGTAGGCAAGCTCTGAGAACCCCTTCTTTTTCTACCTTACTGCTAAGGTGACTTAGATATCATATTTCCACCTTTTCCTACTATTGCCTTTTATCTTGTTCCAAATTCCTGCCAGAGAGCTCAGACAAGATGTAAAATATAGATGAAAGTGAAGGATAAAATAAGTAGAAAGTGATTATGCCAGTCTCTTTACAATTCTAGGTCAGAATTGTCTTTTAACTACCCAGAAGTCTGTGAAATATCTCCCTAACATGTCTAACCATGCCTGGACTGCAAGTTTTCCTGAGGAAGGTGATGCCTCATATGGAGCTACAAAGTTCCTGTGTATCTCTTTCTCTATATATATTTGCACACATATATAAAATGGAAAAAAAAGGAATAATTAGGAGGGGAGGGCTGGACTGTAATGCTCAGGTTTACTGACACACGCATGAGACATCTCAGCTGTAATGGAGCAAGCAGATAAACAGCAAATAATTTCATAGTAACTCTTGATGCAGCACCACCAAAAGGCCTCAGTGGAGACAGGGGATGTGCTGAGGCAGACACTACATAAACACTGGTAACGGGGAGCCCTCCCTCCTCCCTGAAGGACTGGCTCCTCAAAAAGAATAGGGAGTACAAGGAAATCAGAGGTCTGCAGTGATTTGCTCCAAACCACAAAACAAATCTGCAGCAAAGCTGGGAGCCACAGCTGCATCTCCAAAGGCACACATCTTCCCTTACACCCAGAAAAACCTAAGTTAACTCTATTAGTCTGCTTGTGTCAGACACACAAACATGCACTCTCTATGAAGCCTGGGCAAGCCTACTGCTAATGATGTCCCCCTGCATCCCAAACAGGCTGCAGGGCTTGCACCTGCTCTTCAGTTGAGCCCTCATTTAATTAATGAAAGACATGAAACTACCAACTGTATCAATTTACTGCAGCAATGAGTACAAGTGCTCTGGGTTTTTAACCCCAGGGACCTGGCAAACCAGAACTGCTCACCCCAGAATTAAGCAGTATTTAAAACATTATCTGCGAGCAGCTGGGAAGAAAAATACTTAAAACCACAGAAACAAAAAGGTATTTGCTTTTAGGCTAGCATTTGTTGCTGGTTTTAGATTAAGCTGTAGCTTTCTGTAACCTACATACTCCTCATACTCCTCTTATCTCTGTATATGCCATGAACAAATACAACCTGAAGACTTGAAGCTCAGAAAACACGGCACTTATAAAAATGCCTTTAGAACTTCTGGATCCTGCTCTAGAACCTGCAGTGAATGGTCATATCCATTATCTGAAGCCCCCACATTATTTAAAAGATGAAGAAACTGTAATGATGGCTAAGCAATAAAATTTCTTAGCCCTAATCATCTGAGGTAGAGCATTTCCTGAGTAACCTGGTTTCTTAGATTTTTCTCGTAGTAAGTTTCCACCTTGCTGCTGCACAGCTGGGAGCTGAGAAATGTGTACTTCTTACTGTTTACTTTTCTGAGATACTTCATTAAAAGTCTATGAGCCCCACTGTGTAACAGAAGGGGAAAAGGTTGTTCACATCCTTCCACGTATCAGGCAAGCTCTCTGACATGGGACATCTTGATGGCTGAGTCATCCCATCTGTCCCAGACACCTTTCAGGCCAAAAGGAGCAGAGCAGAGCTGAGGGAGTGCTCAGTGAGAGGCCGTCCTTCAAGCAGCCACAGCATCCTCAGCCTCTCACGCAGGATGGGCACTCAGGGCTTTCCGTGAGCGACTCACGCTTTGCGGGTTTGGCTTGCTATGAAGACAAGGTGTGCTGAAGACAAAGTGCTGCCTTTGGTTATGACTGCGCTTCCTCCCGGAAATAAACATAACAGCTCAAGTTTAACTGGGATCAGAGCTTGGCCTTTGATGTCAAGGGCGTTGTGCCAGGAAAATACTGCAGTACTTTTTACTCAGCTATTCAAGGCTCTGCTCTAGTCCTGAGCTTGGAAAAGAAAAGCTTACTTAGCTTACTCAGAGACTGACCCAGAAGTCAGCCATGGGTAGGGGAAAGAGATATTAATAAAAAAAAAAAAAATGCTTGCAGAAAACTCTGGATAAATAATTGTAGAAAATGCAGACTTTCATAACATGACTTGCATTTGTTGGAAATAAATCTGGATTTCTTACTGCTGAAGTGAAATTATATTAGGAATAATAATAGCACCTAACACAGGACACACAACGAACTCAGACCGTCCTTTAACAAAACTGGAGAAGAAAGCAAACACGAGTTTGATGTAATTGACTGATTTGAACAAAATGTCTGTGAAATGTAGAGCAGCAAGCAAGAGCCACGGGATTAAAAACAAAAGCTCCCATACCTGTATCTTTGCTTTGGAGACTGCTTTTCAGCTGACTTAAAAACATGTCCAAGATAATACAAAGGAAAGAATAAAAAGTTCCAGTTTGTTGCAAACCACGTTAGAGTGAAGGGTGCATCGAATTTCTTAAAGGTCAGTTTTGCTAGCTGGGTTGAACCTGACCAAGAGGAGCAGACACCCAGGACCATGGCCACACCCCAGAAAATCTTCTTGAGTTGCGTCACGGAACATTTCCAGCAGCAGCGGTTCACCCTTCCACTGCCTTCCGCCCCAGCTTGCATCTGTGCTTCGGCTGGGGCTGGAGACTCCCGGGAGCGCTCATCCCCTAGGAGAAGAAAACACATGGCTTACTAAGCAAATCCATCCTGCAGTTTAATTTTCAAATCTTAGGCTCGTTTGAAGTCACGTGGAGCTTTATGAGCAAAGGAACTCACCCGATCTTGCCACAAAATGTCCTTTGTTTTTAGATCATTTCAAAGCCTCTGGTTGAACTGAAGCATAATTAGAATGCAAATAACAATTATCACCTCTAGATTTAGAAGCCCTTGGGTAAAATGGAAGTGAAAATTACACGTTGCTTTGATGTACCTAGAAAGACTTAACACACCACTTAAACTCGTGCCGTTAGGATGTGTACATGAATGAAAAATGTGGTATTGAGTTTGATAAAGCAGCAAAGGGAATTATAACAGCACTTGAAATTGTTACTGTCTCAGAAAATGCAGAAATGGCCAGTTTATGGAATATGGTGTTTCTTAGAAGAAAAGCAACATATTTAATCTTGAAGTTAAGCAAAATCACTACAACATAAATAGCATGACTAATACTGAATTGGATCACCAGGCATTTCAGTGGTCCCTGGAAAAACAGGTCTGCTATGGCCGTAGTCAGGTAGCAAAAACTAGACCAAACCACATGCTGCTCTTAAGTCCATCTCTGACCAGTCAAGCCTAACTTTTTTAGTTTGAGTCCTGCACAAAGACTGGACTGCAGCTTTGCCCCATTATAACTAAGCCTAGCATGCTGCTGGAAATTTTTCACCTAAAACCTTGCCCATTCAACCCTGAAACATGAACTGTTATAGCTCTGCGTTCCTACAGCTGTCAGTCAATAATCCTGCTTGTGAATGAATGAGCAAGGAAAGTTAGCTGGCTGAGTTCTCAGAGGCATCAAAATGTGCTGGCAGACCTCAGCAGCAGGCTGAGGGCTTCAGCACTGCCTTCAGGGCTTTCTACCCGCCTTTCTTAAATTCACCCCATTGAACATCTGCTGAAGTTGACAGTCACTCACACACAACACTCAGCAGTGATTTCTCTAACAGCCTGACTGCAGTTTAGTTGGTCCATTCACCTAAAGCAGGAAGTAGCACATTGTAGTTCACATTGAAATCCAGGAATCTACAACTTTAAAACTGTCCAGAATTTACTTTATGCATTGAAAGGTGAAAACATGTAAATAAAGCCAGGACAATGAGAGACTGTATTATTTCCAAACGTTTATAAATATTCAAGGCAGACTAAGAGAGGTCAACGTTAAAAAAAAAAAAAAAAATTAAAAATCCTTCCTTATCCTGGTGTGAATTCATATGTGGAATGGAAAATCTCTTATTTCAAGCTAACCTAAAGTTGTACTTATATGACCAAACACATTATGAAAGAAAATGTTTCTTTCTATGGAAAGAACTATTTAGTTATTTCCCTACAGATAAGAAATGCATGATCTGAGCTAAAAGTACCATTAGATTGCCTGGTAAAGCTGTATTTTATAACAAGAAAGATTGTGGCCTGTGTTTGATGGCCTGATATTGAACAAGAATGTACAGGAGCAAAGTTATAAACACCTAGCCTTGTTGTGTGTCTTCCAGAGATCTGATCTCTCCACTTATTTCAGTTTTCAATAGAAGGTTCTGTGGGCAGCCTCCCACATAACAAGAGATGCATCAGCAAGCCAATGAATTGTCCAAAGTTAATGTGACCTTGTATTAAACACATAATGGAAAGGTTACAAGCCACCCGTCAAAAGTTTGAATTGAAAAACAGGCTGCCTGTGAATGTTCAGCTCATTTAAAATAATTCTAAACCACTTCACTTGCTGCACAGACCAGTATCAGTGTTCAGTTTATACCAAACAAGAGTACACTTATTTCTTTTAACTTCCCCATGTAGTGGGTGGTTGCCAGTGCCCTGTTTGCTGTCCACCCCACAAATCCTAGAACGATTACCAAGTTTTTCCTTTCCACTCAAGATTTTCTTCTGGGCATTGTCACTGCAACACCAAACACTTCACACACCCTAACAAACTCCAGCATCCTTCTTCCCTTGGACACTGGGTTTCTGCACACAGAAAAAAACAAATTCAGGAAGCCAGCATGCCAAACGAGAGCTTAAGAGGAGTTTGTGCCTCTGTGTCAATGCAACTTCACTCAGAGTTTGTGTTTTTTTATGGAGAGGCAGGCAAAAATGGTCCTCCTTCTTGAGACAGCCAGTGGGGTATCTGCCATTTGCATCTTTCTGCAGTTACTCCCTGAGGAAACAGGAAACCAGGATTTAAGCCACTCCTGCTGAATATATTTAACATTAGGGAATGTGCCTAAAGCCACTGGGATATATGAGATTTTAAGATGAGTAGGTGCTCTGAGTCACGACACTGAAGCTGTGTTATTTTTTCCTAAAATGAGAATTAATCACAACTGTCTGATGCACCAGACACTCAACATCTGGTAACACAGTGTTGACAGACAGCCCAGTACAGACACTGTGGTGAAGATCTTCCCCCCATGAAGGGCTGAAGCCACCTGCCCAGGTCCCCATTGCACTGTTGCACGTACACAAGAGTCAGCAGTTCATCTGGACAGCTTGCATAAATATCACTGCCTTCTACTCAGTTCCATGGCAATTGCTCCCTAAAGCTGAATTTACTGGTTTTCTGTGCTATGTAGGCAAAATTACTTGTCCAGGTATATTTAATACTGTGTTAAACACACCAACAGAAATGTTTGCTTTCAGCAACAGACAATGCTGCATGTTTAACTTCTAAAATGAAATTGCACCTGAAAGGTTAACTTTCCAGGGATGTTCTTTCTTTTAATGCATTTACAAACTGATGGGACTAAAAACTTATCCCAGGCACAATGGATTTCACAATGACAGGGTAAAAATCACTGTCTGATGATTAACAGTTGCAAGCTGAGATTTGTAATATCTGTCAGTGTCTGTAGTATCTGTCAGTGAAACTTTATTGTGTCCTCATAATTGCTTGTGCTGCTGGAGAGTTAGATGTCAAATAGGCACAGACCCTTCCAGTGGATGCACCACTGACCTGAAGGATACCTGTGATACAATCTTTCCCCCAGAAAAAGATTTTCTTTGGAGAGGGTGGACACTACAGATGATACACATTCCTGTGGTCTCATCCTCTCATTTACTGGAGGGCACTTGCCTGCCAGCTGGCAAACACAAAATCCAGAGCTGTAGTTTGCCTTGTCTCATCCCTGTGTCTCTGCTGGGGACATTTTCCTCACCCAAACCATAGGTGCACAGATGAGGTGACACTAAACCCACACATGGCTGAAAAGCTTCTCTCTCTCTCTAACACTGCACAAGAGTCTGCTGGCAACAGAATGCACATGAATTTAAAGATGGCAAAATGTCTTTTTAGAATCGATGAGGCAGGACATTGAAGAATTTTAGTTCTCCAGTCTTTTAATGGGTTTCTTCCATTGCTTCCTGCAGCAAACTGCTCTGTATGCTACTGTATCCCCTCAAAGAACAGATTAATATACTGAGGCAGAGGAAAAATGCCTATCTTGCTTTTACTAATTTTGGTTTTTCATTGTCCCTATTGCTCATGCATTTTCCTTTTTCATAAATCCCAAATGGAGGCATTCCTCCTCCCTCCCTTTCAGTCCAACCTCTGTTCCATGGCATTCAGAAACAAAGGAAAGAAGTAATCTCCAAAGCTACTGCCAATCCCATTTACCTCAGAAAACAGCTGTCCTGTTTCTTCTGTTATGGCTAGCACCCCCCCTCAGGTGACTGTGGATACCTGTAGCAAGGGCCATCTGCACCCAAGCTATTTACTCCACAGACCCAGCTAAAAGCCATGAAGCAAAAGAGGCATGGTAAAGCACTACACCTTTAAACCATTACAGGTAACAGCTTTAAATAGGCCCAGGCCTTTTCTAAAATCTATACAAGAGTCTTAAGACTTCTGTGCACAGCTAGACAGCTAAAGGGCTTACTGAAAGACCACACTGTACCTAAATGTGTGTATTAAAAATATGATACTGATAAAAAACAAGGGTGGCATTCATCTTCTTAGTTTGAGACATCTGCTGTGCCGACTTGTGTATCTGAGACAGTGATTTACACTTTCTGCATAGCTAGTAGACAGAAAAGAGACATTTCCACAGCACGATTTATCTCCTCCTAAAGTGGATGATTAAAATGAGCCAGATGAATCACTCTGAGTGCTTGTTTCTCTCCACCAGCTCTAAACAGTCTGGGGCGACAAGCTGGAAGTAGGTGTCTCTGGTGTGGGTGTCTGAAGCTGGGTGAGATGAGTCCCACCTCTCCACCACTGCTGTCAGGAACAGAGGGTGAAGCCACCACAGACAGCGCTGGTGGACTCAGAGCTGTGCACTGCCACACGAGCATATTTAGCTGCCATCAAGGACCTGCTTTAGCTGCTGTCAGCTCATCAGCAAATCAGGGAAGAAAGCATTACACAAGTGCTGGATGCCCTTTCCAACCCTTCAGAGTGAGAAAGTGACCCTTAATGACTAAGGTCCTATCTACTAGGGATCAAAACATGTACCTAATGATAATGCACAACTCTTCCAGGTTCCCCAGGCTAGGAATGTGCTTCAAAGTAAGTATATTCTTTATATGCTTACTTTGAAGCAAAAAAGCTTCTGGAAAAAAGTTCTGGAAGCCTTTAAATCAGGCTTCTGGAAAAAGGTTCTGATGAAAAGAACAACTCTCACAGGTCTCTCTGACAATTATAAGTGAGACAGCCAAAGGTATTTCCATTTTGCCAGCCTGTCAGATGTTTTGAAACTTCTTGAGCATTGCATAGAACAAGTTTGTAGAGCTTGCAAAAATATACGCTCATCATAAAGAGGGGAGAAAGAGCTGAGGGAAGTCTTTCCTCAGTGCCTGATCCTCAGTGTGGTTAGAGCTCTAGAAATCTGTGACATGCAGAGGGATCAGGGCCAGATACCACCAAAGCATACTGTCACAGCCTTGAATGCTGTGCGACTTCTTCACCCAGTATTTACTACATGGAGAGATCAGTGGGAGACAATTAGTTCCAACATACCTGAGA